GGGCCGGCAGCGCTTCTCCCGGCTGGAGGGGCCGGGCGCTCTCGGCGGGACGCTGCCTTCAAGCGGGGAGGGACGGCAGGGAGTCGTGGCGAATGCGGGGGAGTTGAGGGCTTTTAGTTAAAAAAAAAAAAAAAAAAAAAAAAAGAGAGAAAAAAAAAAAAGAGTCTTTCCTTTCGCAGTTTGAAAGTTTTGGGGGCTTAATGATTTTTTTTTTTTCAAGTCCTTATTGATGTTCGGATTTATTTCACAGTAGATGTACTCTAGGAAACTGTGTTACAACATCAAAATAACATTATTGTTATTGTTTTAAACTAAAAAAAAACCCTCTGATTTCACTTCTGCCAGTGTGGAAGCAGTTATGTTGATACAAAAATGTAAAATATTTACGTTTTTCTCCTAAACAACCAACTGCAAAGAGGGAAGTAATGGTAGAAAAGCCACCCAATACCTCTAAACGTGGCTCAAAGGAAGAAAAAAGGAAACTGTCATCTTAATGGAGAAGCTGTGCTTATATACTTAAATGAATAACTGAGTTTTAAAAGACCGTGACCTCTAGTGCGGATGAGCTGCTCTCCTTCTCCCTCAGAGCAGCATCCATCAGCTGCCCCAAGCCAAGGCTGCCTGTACTGCCAACACCGATGCTGGCAAAAGGCTGGAGCTGTGGGGAGATTCTGGGAAAAAAAACCCACTTCATCTTTCCCAGGAGAGCTGGAGAAGGCAGGCGTGTTGATTACTGGGTGCGTCCGTTGCCTTTTGGGTTCTTTGGGATCTGTGGTTCTCTGAGCTGTATTAGTCCAGCAAGACTTTCTTTGAACATTTCAGTTGTCCTTGCCAATGCTTCAATAGAAAACAGCTCATTCATGTTTTGATGGTCCGCACTAATCTTTGTCTACAAGTGTTTGAGTAACTTTTTGCTATGCTTCTGAATAGTGATTGAAGAGCTCTGCAGTGAAGTGCTTTTATAATAAAGGCTTTTGCAAAATGTGCTGTGGAACATATACCAGCAAGCGCTACTGGTAATTAAAAGTAAATGAGTTTTCAAGTAAGTGAACAAAGTCCGCTGGGATGCATTATCTCTGGTTTCATTCTTTGGTATTTGTTCACTTGCTAATTTGTGATAGGCCTTGCGCTAACTCATGAAAATGGGAGAAGTTCTACTTTATTAAACTTTTCGTTTTGTTTAAGTACTAAGTCCCTTTAATTATGTTGTATGTGTATTTGCCCATCTCATTGCTGAAGTTAAAGTTGTCATGATTCCTTCTAGGAAGGCATTGAGAGTGGTTTTCCAGTTAAAGCTACTGTTGATTTTTACTATTGATAGGCTCTTAGGCACGTATGAAACTGAAAAGTAGGGATGTTTAAAATAAATATTTGATTTAAAAAGCAAGAGTGAAGTTTAGGGGTTTGTGGTCACTTAAAATGTTATGATCATGGTGGGTTGAGGGAATGTAAATGAAGCCCCAGCTGCTTACAAACAGTGGGGCTTTTTGCTTGAGATTAAGACCATGTCCAACTCTGTCTTTTTTTCTTGCTTCCCAGTGTTTATGCTATCAAAGTTATCAATTTTCTGTATAGATCTTTGAGATTGGGCAGTGAAAATAATCTGTTCTCATACCTGATACTGATGGTTACAGTGCAGCTGCATAGACCTCTGAAGTGTGGTCAGAGGCAAGTATTGTATTGCTGCTGGCTTCCTCCCTCTTTAAATTTAGATAAATCAGCCTTTGTTCTCTTCAGTAAAGGGAAGCCAAAAGTTTGGGTCTAAGCTGCTGCTGCTGGAATTGTAGTGGGGCTGTGTAAGCAAAGAGGATTTATTGGCACCAGGATAAATTAATTGTGACGAACAGGAAGACAGAAAGCACTGCAAACGATGTTTTGTACACACAAAAGAGAAAACCCTAAAGGTTAATTCTGACTTTGTTCACAAATTAGGCACACTCCGTTAGGCTTTTTTTGCTCGCCATAACCTGGGTCTCTGACAGCTACTGGACCACCTGACCTTTCAAATGAGATCTACTGGAGTGTGTAACACCTCTGGAAAGCCCCTTGGAAGATATGATTTTTTTTCATTTCAGCACTGGGTTTCCTCAAGCAGATCTTCTTTCTAACTGAGTTGCAGACAGGCTGCAGCCTTTACTGGTTTCAGCCATACTGCGTATTAGTGACTCCTGTGGAAGGCAGTTTTCTTGCCTCCTTTGGAGTATCGGCCTCGAAGGTGAACAGAAAGGAACCTGCGGAGTTGCCATAGCGATTTCCAAGTTCATCCTTAGCATCTTGTGTCTTTTTCCAGAGAGCAGCCCTTTCATGCTGTGTCACTTAGATTAGGATTGAGCCCAGGGTATGTTGTAATACTATTCAATATTCTTGAAGGAAAACTGCTGCAAAACCCTTATGTATTCAGGATGAATGTGCCCTTTGTAAATCAGCAGTCACAGGAGGGAAAACTTGGCCCTCTGGCACTGAACAAAGGCTACTGTGCCTGTGTTAAGCACGGTAGTATCCTTATTTGGAGGTGTTTACTTAATTGTGTATAATGTTAACTATTTAACACGCCATTGAATTTTCTTTTTCCTTTTGGCATATAGGCACAGATTCCATTAACTACTCACCTGAGAAATGCTTTCAGGGAGAAATATTTCTTTCTCAAGCCTCCTAGCTTCTGCTGCTGTGGAAGCTGGGGTCTGCTATGGACATACTTTGTTTGTTAAACATGGGTTTTCTGTATGGAAATTGACTTAGCTATTGACATGGAGTTACTTCCCTATTTACTGATGCTGAGAATGTAAAGTGGCTTAATGACTAATCTGAAGTCTGCAGGCAGAGGGGTGAGATCATGTGCTTCCCTCAAGTGGGGTTTCTTTGTTCAGTGCAACTCCTTTGGGGCACGCAGAATTTGGATTCTGCCTCCGCTTTGTACATACTGTACAATCCTGCTCTCTCTTTTTCAGACTCTCCTTCGTCTTACAGCCATGCTTCCTTCTAGCACATCTCTTATTATCTCTGTGTGATAAATTACTAATTGGGACCCTGCTGTCTAATGAGTATGATTGGTGGCACTTTCTGTTCTTTCTCACTCCATCTTCCCTTTCCTTCCTCTCTTGCTGCCTTACAAAGAGGTGTGTTAGTTGTGTGACCCTGGTGTCAGAGAAAATTGTCTAGTTACTCTGTTCTTTTTTCCCTTCTGTCAATACATTTATATGTAACAACAAGCATAAAAAAAAAGTCATCTAGATTTTACCATGTCTGTGTATGCAGAATTAGGGATGGAAATTGGAAAACGCATTTTCTTAATAGTGCTTAGCTCCTTTTGTTTCAAAGGTGTATGTATTACCTGTATTTATACATCAGATCAAACACCACCCGAGTCAGAACTGCAAATGTAACAGTAATTTGCTAAACACAGTGTGTGTATTCTCAGATGATAAAATCTCCTTGCAGAGAGCTTCGTGGGAAAAGTGGCTGCTTGAAGCTCAGAGTGGAATGAATGTGGTGCGTGTGAACTTTCCCTGTTCTGCAGTGGCAGAAGACTTGGTTGGTTGGAGGGATTTAGTTGGACTCTAGTTGAAAGGTTTCTTTTGCTGGGTTGAGAGGTCAGTGGGGCAGGAAACCATTACGGAGGAAAATACCTTAGTAGAGCGACTTTGAGGCAACCTGTGGAGCGAAGAGTCAAGAGGTTGAAAGTAGTGTAAAGCTGATTAAGAATGAAAGGGTAAGTATCTGTGGGAAAGGCAGGAACTGGGAATTGATATCATTACATTTTCTGAATTGTTTTGCAAGTCTCCAAATCTGTGTAAGCTGAAGCAAGTGGCATTGATGTAGCTTTTCAAGACCTCACGGAATTCTGCATAATAATTTTATTCTAATTTTCCATTATTATAGTGATGTTTTCAATATGCCTGTAGATAATGAAGTTTGACAATGGTTTCATGACTTTGCTGATTGATGGGGTGAGCAGAGGCCTAGCTCAGCTCGTCTATCTGGCAGCGCTTTGAGCTTAAATGGTCAACCAGGCCTTTGGGTCTGAAAAGTGTGTTTTGAACATTGAAGGAAACCATTCTTAGGGTCTTTCTTTTTTGGAAAGCCGTAACATCTCTAGAGAGCCTGGGAATTGGAGGGATGTTTTTTTTTTTCCCTGCTAGTAAACTGCTTTCTTGCTTTTTTAGTGGAATACAGAAAGTATTATGTTTCCCATCTGTAACAATATGGTGGTAAGCATCCTTTCCACTGAGATATCATCTTAGTTTTATGGATTATCACTACTGCAGATATACAGGCACCTGGAATGGTGCTGGTGGAGACTACTTGCAAGGCTAAATGCTCATAGCTGCAAGCTTTTTTTTCTTGTGGCTATCTAATTCTTGTGGTCTGGTTGTTCCCCTTCCCACACGTATGGTTTAATTTGGGGAAATACCCTGAGTTTCCAAGGAAGGAGCATCCCCAAGCCTGTTCAGCGTGGCAAACCCAGGCAGCCTCAGCCCTGTAAAATATCATCCTTTTTGTTGCTAGGGCTAAACTGATCATATCAGAAGGGTTTGCTTTCCCCTGTTGTTGGACAGCATGGCTTTGGGAATAAGAGCTTTCCCTTCTCTATTAAGATTTTGGCCAGGGATGGTTACTGAGGCAGGGACGAGGTTGAATTTCACGCGCTGGGCTGAGGTCCAGGTGCTTCCTGTTGCTAATGGCCCATGGAGACCCAGGTGGTGGGGGGAATGGGCAGCACAGCTGTTTGCTGGGGCTCGGCTGTTCCCATTTATTGAACAGTGCATTAACCTGTCAGTATTTGCACTAATAGCTCAGGCTGTGATCTGCAGGGGCTGAGCTGTGGATGTGTTGTGTTCCCAGCTCTGTTCTCGAAGAGCAATAGGCACACCGGTCTCGGGAGAGTGGGCCGGACAACT